ATCCACTACAACTATAGCTTTGCTATGAAAGTATGAAGTATGCTCACTAGAATTTGTAAGGTACGGAGTAGCTAATTTTCGGTGTTTCGATGACGTAGCGTTGACAAGTTTAGTCGCACAAACTTAAAACCAACCTCATACCGGATTGAGATCCTCTACCCGACTAGGAGGGTGCCTTGCGCATCGGACGGGAGGGGAGCGACCAACAAGGTCTCGAGATCGGCGAAAAAGTGGAGCCCAAGATCTCTGACCATTGAATTGTCGATTGGACGACCGGGAGGAAGCAAGACACTCTACCTTACTTTAAAGTAAGGTAGAGGCTCCGGATCCCCTCATACCCGAGTAATTTTTCTAGGTACAAGTGTAGAGCGGAAAAGAATCACATAGCTCGATAATTGAGATAATGAAATCGCACCAGAACTCTAAATACTTATATGCGGGGGGAAACTGTCAAATAGGTCCTCGAACTTTCATAAAAAAGTCAATTAAGTCCATCCATAGGAGACTTTGTTTGGTCGTCGCGATTTGGGGCAGTTTCCGGTGCAATTTTTTGAGCATCTTATTCATCAAGTCTAATTTACTCATACCAAATTTCAGTTAAAAATTTAATCGGGAGCGCATTCAAATTAATTCGAGAACGCAAAAATGCGCAGTTATTTTCAAGAATTAATTTCAATGTGTTCTCGATTGAATTTTTAGCTGAAATTTGGTATGAGTAAACTAGATTTGGTGAATAAGATGCTCAAAAAATTTTATCAAAAAATTCCGCCGGGAACTGCCCCAAATCGCGACGGCCGGACAGAACCTCCTATAGAAGGACTTAATTGACCTTTTTATGAAAGTTCGAGGACCTATTTGACAGTTATCCCTATATGCGGAGAAGTGCTTAGGTCCACCACCTCCCGGTCCGAACCCCATCCGAACATCGCCGTTTGGGGTACTTCACGGTGGAAGTTTTTTAAGAAATTTTTTTAGCATGTTTGTCATCAAGTCTAGTTTATCCATACCAAATTTCAGCTCAAAATTCGATCGGGAAGGCATTCAAATTATTTTTTGAAGTTGACTGTGTTTTTATATGTATATTTTGGCGAAGTCAACTTCAAAAAAATGATTTGAATGCCTTCCCGATCGAATTTTGAGCTGAAATTTGCTATGAATAAACTAGACTTGATGAGGAACATGCTTAAAAAAATTCATCAAAAAATTTCACCAGGAAGCACGCCAAACGACGATGTTCGGACGGCGTTCGAACCGGGAGGTGCTGGACTTGAGCACTTCTCCTTAAATGCATATGTTAAAATATATGTCTCGTACCGGAAAACTAAAAAACAATAAATAATAAATATTTATATAAGATTTTGAGTTACTTCTCCTATCAAATTGACCTTAGGATGGAACCAGACCTTAAAAACGTATACAAAAAATATATTTAAGTAGACTCAATTAATTGATATATTTTTATAGTTATGCATATGATCGAAGCTATATTTTCAAATAAATAATTTGAGACCACCACCTATATAAAAAAATGAGATCAAAGTAGAAACATATTTGTCTAATTAAAATAAATTACATGTAATAAAACCTAATCGTGGTTAATATCCTTTATTCAATTTCTTCAATTATTGATGCATCAAAACATTTGTTTAAGAGAAGGTCGACAGTGATGGACTCAACAGGTTCCGGGCCCGGGTCGGGCCTAGGCCCGGACGGGCCAAAAAAAAATTTGTGAGGCCCGGGACCGGCCCAGAAGTAGACCGGTGCCGGTCCGGGCCCGGGCCTGGTTGGGTCCGGTTATAATTTTTTTTTGTTTTCTTGATTATTTTTTATCCCCCACCCCCACCCCCCATCCCACAAACCCATCTGAAAGACCCATTCCAACCAATTTAAACCCAGCCCCAAACCAACAAAAAACAAAAAAATTGAAAAGCCCGAACCGGGCCCGGAACCGGCCGGGCCGGTTCTCATTTTCTAAGCCCGTACCCGGCCCGATTACCCACCCCAAACCGGGCTTAGACCCGGAACTGGTACCCGGTTCCTGGGCCGGGTGGCCCGAACCGGGTCTAAACCTCAAATTCAACGGATATTTAGGACTCCAAAGAGTCGCCTCAGAAGGATAACGATTCTTGAATTCAAAAGCCGCAAGTAAATGTATATTTAGGACTCCAAAGTCTATCTTTATGGCTGTTATCGCGAGTCTAAGTATATACTCCGTATAATGTCTAAAAGAAAAAACTTGATAGACATTCTTTCATAGTATCTATCTATACAAGTATACAACTATACAAAGCAATACTTAATGAATTTGGTGTGGTAGTGTTACTTTGCTTTTCCGTTACCATAAAATTATTAGTGAATATAGCGCTTGAACAAGATTCGAAAAATTGTAGAATACCTAGAATTACGGATGAATTTACTTTTGTTTTCATATCATCGATGTAACATTTAGTTTAAAATTTGACAACACTCGAGTTAATCGCTAGATCCATCATCCGTCCCTGGAACTGGTAATGAGTAAATGATTACTAATACTAGTAATTAGAAGAAAACTAAGCTGCAGATCGAATCATTATCCGCGTACTCAACAAACCTGGATCAAATCCCATAGAACGAGCATGCAGTCATGTGTAATGACAACAATATTACCTAGAGTGCTTTTTAAAGTCTGACATTAGAGAATGCATTTGCTCTATTTCTTTCCATCTCAAAAGATAACATCCATAAATCAGGAGAATGCATTTTCTTTATTGATGGAGATAGATTCAGTAGTCGAAGTAGCCATCGTCAAGAAGTTGAGGGAATTCCAACTGCATTTGCCTATCACGTGCCAACATGTTCTCCACAAACGACGAATCTCCAGCCAAAGTTTCTCCACCATCGCACTTTTCAGCTAAACCTTCATTCCTGTAGTCCTGTCTAGGCAACTCCATCTCTGGATCTTGAATGATAAAGTCATTCCAAGGAGTGGAGGAAGAGGAGGAAGAAGAAACCGCTGCCGGGAATTGCTCGTACCCAGAATAGTACTGCTGATGAGGAGTGCTGAAATGTGTGAAACAAATGCCATCATCAGGTTGCATGGACAGAGGAGGGTTGTTCTGGATCTGGAATTGTTCGGTCATATTTGATGGAAAAGAAGGCGCTTCAGATAATTCAAATAGAGATTCGGTTTTCACGGTCGAGGGGGTGCTGTTGCTCAAAGGGAGGCCGCTACTTAACCTCCCAAACTCGGCAAATACTTGAGCAAAGGGCTTATGAGTCAATGGGTCAATTCCCATGCTCTTGAGCTTCTTCTTTAGCTTTGTGTTCCAGTAGTTTTTCACATCATTATCTGTTCTCCCAGGTAGACGCCTTGCTATTAGAGACCACCTAATCATGAAATGAACAAAAAAGGAACGGGTTAGACGAAATAAATGGTTTGATTGTCAACTTATTCTCGTATAATTATGGTGAATAGTTTTTTTGTCCTCCAGTAATGTGATACCAAGAATTCATATCTGATTTACTCCCTCAAATGTATACAATTATTACTCGATGCGATTCTCAACTTTTTAAAAAATCAATTTCGTTGTCGATATGCAAATTAAACCCAAATTAGTCCTCAGGCACATGTGACTCTAATAACAATATGTTTTTTTTGCCCATTGAGAACTAAATTGGTTCCGAATTGCACACTTGAGGACTAAATTGTTTTAGAAGAAAAAAAAGACTCGATGTAGTTCTGGAGCATATGTTACTCTAATTGTGAAGGATATTTTTGCCTGTTGATAACTAAATTGGTTCCTAATTACACAGTTGAAAACTAAAATGAGTCCTGAACTAGGTCCACTAAAAAGGTTAGACTCAATTTAATCCTCAAGTATATTTACTCTAATTATGGGGGATATTTTTGCCTGTTGAGAACTAAATGGGCTCCAAGTTATGGGAATGAGGGCTAAATTTACTCACAAATTGGGTCCACATTTAGTGGATCTATGAAAATACACTTCCTTTGTTTGGGCCAACAATGTATAGCAGCTGTTTTGGGCCTAACAAGGAAAAAATTGAGTCCCAAAAAAGTCTATGACCAATAGTCGAGAATCCCAAAAAAGCCGAGGACAAAAAACTATTCTTGGTCATACTATTTGATGGAGAGATGTCAGCCGCACTAAATGGAGACTAAAATTGCTACATCATAGAAATTGTGAACCACATATTGAGATTTGAAAGAAAACAAAAGAGCGTAGAAATTGAATCAAACCTGCTTCCTATAGTTTTATGAAGCTCTAGAATGCATGCTTCTTCTTCAGGGGTGAAGTTATCATGTTTGAGATCAGGACGCAGATAATTTGTATACCTGAGCCTACAACTTTTCCCACACCTGTTCAGTCCTATACAAATGCATCCCACAAAATAATCATCAGATTTTTGTTAAAATAACATAGATTATGATAATTTATTTGTCTGGTACCCTTGAGAAATAAGAAGACAAAGACCAATATGCTAATGTACATAAGAGAATGTATAAATACCTGCTTTCTGAGGGACCAAAGTCCAATTACCAGTCCCATGGCTGGCTACATAAGCAAGAATCTTTGCATCTTCTTCAGGAGTCCATGACCCTTTTTTCACATTTGCTTTGTCACAACAGGGTGGCCTACCCATCATCTCAAAAGCAAGCAAACCAAGATCCAAAAATGGATCACAAGAGAGAGAGAAAGAGAGAGGGGAGAGAGATTGGTGCAATGGTGATGCAAGTTCTTCTTCACAAGTCTTGAGAGCACAATTAAAGAAGGGGTGAATAAACTGGGAAAAGAGAGCACGGAATGCATGTAATTTGGCTCCCATATTAACAACAATTGCATGATTTTATCATAGCATCAATATAACTGTTTTACATGACATGAAAAATATTGCATGCATTCTCTCTCTCACTCTCTCTCACACAAGGGGAATAATGTATTTCAGGTGCAGAATGAGTGAGTTAATTGGTTATACATCCAAATAAACCATTATAACAGCCACTGTGTATCACCCTCTTCCAACAGTTAATTATGATATTCCCAAACTATAGTAAAATCTTCTTCAAATATGATTATAATGATTATTCTCTGTCTAAAACAAAGTATATAAACTGATCCACTGTTTTTTGGAGAGTTACTTTCTAGACAATAAGTAACAGAAACCCAGGTATCTAAAATACATATATATCATGACGAACATACGTTGCAGCTTTTCCTACATTTTCCTAGAGAGAGTTCGGACCCCACCATATATACAGGATTCTTATCACATTCACCAGAAGAAGCCCATATGGCACAGTTTTCATGCTCGTCAACGCATCCGCTGGGTGGTTTGTCAAAAGACCTCACATGGATCCATTTTGTAGCAGACCACTTCTCACCTTCGAGTACAGGGCAGCTTCCATGTAAGCTCAGGGGGTCCGTAGTCACGTTTGGGAGTAGACTGAAAAACAGCAATGCATCACCCTTATACGGTTTCACTGTGAGCCACACACAAAAACAAAATTAGTGTCCATTTGGTAGCCTTCACTAGCTTTGTCAGCTTATGTCTTACTAAACAGGCCGTTAGATGGAAGAACATGTCCTTTTGTAACTTAATTATTTGGCTGAAATGGATATTACCAAGTGCTTCTCCTTTCAGAAAATTCAGCCATTTCAGCCAAATAGCCCCTTAAATAATAAAATGTAAATATGTAATAGTTGAGCTTTATTTCATTCTATTTTTTATTTTTATATAATAATATATGTACCTGCATAGCCATTTATAGCACATTCGGACCAGTCATCACCCTTTGGCTGACTGTCTTTTAGCTGCGGGTAAAAAGACAATTTTGTTATAATCTCATATCACCAAGAGAGTAAGAGACCAAATAGATGCAAAGAATTAGCTAGGGGCAAGGAAAGGTGGAATGAAAGGTTTAGGAAATGTTGTGGATATGACAAAAATACCCTTCAAGTGAGTGTAGGTGCTACCCAGACACATCTCTTGATGGGTGCTTTCAGCATTCTTTGAACCTTTCCATGAGCTTTTCCTGCGCCTAGCCTAACTCAACTAGAAAAAGGCATAACAACTAAACTAAAAAGAATTAAGCTAGGGGTATGGAAAGGTGCAGTGAAAGGTTTAGGAAATGTTATGAATAAGAAAAATGCCCTTCAAGTGAGTGTGGGAGCTACCCTCACACAATCTCTTGACAGGTGATTTTGGCAATCCTTGAACCTTTCTATCAGCCTTTCCCTGCCTCTAGCCTTACTCAACTAGAAAAAAGCACACCATAGTAGTGCATACCTCCGAACTAGGGAATACGGTCTCTCCGCCTTTCTCAACAGATGATAAGTACATAAGAACAGTAGCCACACGATGGCCCCCTAACTCTTGATTGACCTTGTCGTGAAAATAATCAAAATGCGGCTCGTATTTTTGTCCATGTTCATAATGCAGTATCTGCATTGACTCTCCATTCTCTAAATATCAAAATTGAAGCATTATACTTTGTGTGAGGAAGATTCATTATGTTAAAAGTCGCACATAGAAACATGACAAAGATTTTGAGGTCTTTGATTGGAGTCATTGGACTAGGTAGTTGATTTTAATCTTCTAGTGTTGTAGTCATGGACATTAAGACCCACTTGAATGACCCAGTTTTGAACATTATACCTCTAATTATTGCTCAAATAGGGAGCAAGCAATAAAACCATCTACGTAATTACCTGGAGGTAAGAAAGTCCATGCAGCTATCCTGGATTCAATATCAGCAACGACTTCGTCCTGTAAAGAATGGCGTATTATATTTTTCTCATCTTGAAGTATTCAGCTAGTTTATTACTGAAATGATTTTAAGAGGGTCCTAAATATGACTAAAAGATAACCATTTTCTTCACGTATGACCACCATATTTTTAATCCTAAACCTCTACTTCCTTTGTCCCAAAAACAAGCTGGCGCTCTGGGAATATTCAAATTAGTAGTCATGATTAAACTTTACATAATTAGAAACTACACAAAAAGTTCTATGTATCCTAAAAAGAGAAATAGAATTTGAAAGAGATTGATACATAGAATCATAGACTATGAGCGAGTTAAATTGACTCTGGGAATAATGGTTGAAAGTTTCATTTTGGGACAGGTAGTATTTATTAGGTCATAAATAGAGAAAAATATTAATTAAATGCAGAAGATCATTAAATAATGAAGGTCATAGTAAAGAAATGTTGTTCTGATTGTAATATTTAGTGAAATACCCTGTCTATTGGACTTGTCTAAGTAAATTAGCTTATATTTTAATAGTTTGTGGTAAAGAAAATTCATCCCACATTAAAGTTCCAACTGATTTACACATAAAGTAGATTTATTGATAATTGTCATCATTTCAAACAAAACTATAATAAGAGCCCATTTGGTAACACTAAAACTGACTGAGTCGGCTAATAACTGAAAGTTATGAAAGTTATGAACTTCTGGATGAAGTAGCAGGATTGGCAATCTTATTATGCTGATTTATGAAAAAAATTATATGAAAAGTAGTTAAGTTGGTCCTCTACCGTAACTTCAAGCAATGCAGGCAGAAAAGCAACTCCAACCTTACTTATTTTGAACCAAAAGTTACGTGTTTGGTAAAAAAGTTGGCTGATAAGACGAAATATAAGGTCACCAAACGGGCTCTAAGATGTAGGAAGCCTAAAACTTGCTGGACAACATATGCAATTGATCAAGGGAAGAGAGAAAAAATGAAGCCAATTTTTTGAAAAATATCAAAATAATCGAGCTTTACAAACCTGAGCTTTTGAAAGAAACATGCCTGAACTTGTTCTAACTTCACTCTCTACGCTCTTTCCAGATTCATTATCAGCCACCATGGACTTCTCCAGCTTGTCCTTGGCCTATTCATCCAAATCACACACTAGCTAAACAACTAATCAAGTCAGCCTAATGACTTCCCTATTGTTTCGTTATCAGACATATAAGCCAGATTTTTTACAGAAAAACTAAACTATTTGGACTATGTTAGCTGAATCAGGTTGATAGAAAACCAATAAGAAAAAACATAGAAGTTATTTTTTGGCTAAACCTAAGAGAAATGACACTAACAAGCAACACCATGTCTTATACTACGTATATTATACTACCGTTTATGTGTTCTTTGATTTGACACAATTATTAATAGAGTGGTTGAAAAAGTAAATGTTATGATTGAGATTTGAGTAAAATAAAATGAAATGTTGTAGACCACATTTTTTCCCAAAAGGGAAATGCGACACTTATTTTGGGACAATCTGAACTGGGACGGAGGGAGTATTATACTACTACTTCCCTCCCATTGAAAGAGCAATATTTCAAAACCATTGTTCTGTCCCAAAAGTAGAGTCTTCTATGATTATATGTAGTATATAGGTAATTTTCAAATAATCTTCCAAAACAGAGTAGAAAATAATTATGGTGTAATTATTAAAAGGGTTTATATAATTTAGGACTTAATAAATATTGCACATTGTTAAAACATAAAAAGTTATACATTGGTTAAACACGACTCTCTGGGAAGCCAGGAGGGGGGGGGGGGGGGGGGGGCTTAGTACTATCCCAGATTACATGACCAATGAAAAATGAAGAAGGCTATAAAGATTGCATCTTTTTTACTGAAATTAACATAGACCGACCAGAGTAATGAGATGATCACACTCCTCATATGTCAAGAATCCTTTATATAAGAAAGCCCTGCAGAATTTCAAATATCCCCAGATTAACATATTCAGCACACCAATTTTGAAACAAATAGTTTTAAAAAGAAAAATGAAAATTACACCCACCTTGGGTGCCAAGAGATTGCTGCAACCCGGGTCGGATCAATAGCAGTTGACGGAGCTCCGGTCACCAATCGCAGCACCGACTCTTTCCTGTGAAATGGAGAAACGCAAGTTAGCCGTTGGTTGATTTACATCGTGGAAATGATCCTCAAAAAGAGTGGGAAAGATACGCTTTTTCAGCTCCTCGCCATCTGGACGATTGAAGAGAGAGATCAGGGAAGACGGAAAGCAAACAGAGCGATAGCAAAAGACAACGCCGACAATCCATCCCGCAATGTGAATCAAAGCAGATCCTTCGCTCTTCAATGGCGAACAAGATGGAGATGAAAAACACAGAAAATCAACGATGGGTTTTGAAGTGCTCCACTACTACTTTATAATGGAAAGAACAACCAATGATCGTATCAGGTTGGTATCTAAATGTTTGAATTCAACTCTATCAAGGAAGGAACTGAAACAACACAATTCGTCGACTTGGAGAAACCGAGAAACTAGTCTCTTTCTTTTTTCATTTTTCTTTTCCTTTTTTGGGAACTACTCCATTAAAAATTATACTTTCGGAGATTTCAGCAATGTGGAAAGTGGAGCGCCCACTGGATTCGGGTTTGTGAGTGGGATTGGTGTGTTGTTCTATGGTCATAATTTTGCCAAAGTTTAATAAGAATTCTCGATAAAAAAAAAAGTTTTGAAATATCAAAACACGATTATGGTATTTTTATTTCCTAAATATGAGTACATTTATATCAAATTTGGCATTACTAGACTTTAAACATGACATTTTTTCAAACATGACATAATTACTTCTATTTAGGAAATAAAAAATAACTCATATTTTGGAATTTCAAAACGTTTTTACTCATATTTAAAACAATTTCTAAATAATGAAGTAATAAAAATGGTCGGATTTATATGCAAGAGTGAAAGATAATACTCCTAAAAATCACAAATTAATCAATTACAATGAAAAGTAATAAAGAATTTTAGATACCATCGTATATCCCAAAGCTAAAGATGGAAAAATAATAAAGTATGGTGATGAATATATTGTCACATATTTTAGGGATCAAGAAGGTTGCGTTTGTTTTCTAGCGGGTTGATGTTACCCTCTGCAAAATGTAGCGGTTTGCAGTTCAAAAGAATTAGTTGTTTGGGTAAAAAGCTATTACCCAAACGGAGTCGAACACGGTCTAGATCGGGGGCTCAATACACTGGCACACTGCTAATGAGGCTGAGGCCCTGCACTGAGATAAGAATTGTAGTTCAGGCCCGACATCCCATCGGTAGCCTATTCTACCTTGGACCGAACCATGTCACCAAGACCAAGCGAGATGTTTTTATTCTTAGGATGTTTTCTTTTGGATTGAAATTTACTGGTCTGGTCTCGTCTGATAAATGTCTGATTTCTGTGTATTTTATAATTTTCAAAGTCTGCTTTGGTCCGTTTAAGTCTGGTCTGACCTGGTCTGTTTAAGTCTGATCTGGTCTGGTCTAGGACTAAATACAGTCCAAAAGAAAACACTCTTATGATGTTTTTACTTGGACTGTAATTCGTCCCAGACCAGATCAAACCAGACCAGATCAGACTTGGATAGTTATACAAATACAAAGAAACCATACCAGACCAGATTAGACCAGCAAATTATAATCCAAGTAAAAAGATCCTTAGTCCGCCCTAATGCTTCAGAATGATTTTCATAACTTAATAAAAAAAATTATTCAAAATATATCGTTGCATAGATCTTGAAAAAACATATGGCTTAAGAAAAACGTTTTCCTAATAGAGTATCCGAGCGCAAAACACATACAAGATGCAGTGTGGCGCTTCTTATTTCCATTTTGGAAAATACCAAAAAATGATATCTCTAACTTAAGAAGAAACTTAGAAAAATGTCTTCTTTTTTTTAATTTTGGAGAATAAATAAGTAAACATGTTTTCCAGTTTTCCATTTTTTTTTTGAAAAAAAAAATATTCCCGTAAGTAAACAAGCCTTAAATTTTCTATTTTTCCCATTTTAGTATTTCTAAATTCTTTCTATTTTCTTTCATTTACATTCTTATATTCTATAAATTATACTAAAGATGATATAGTTTATCGTTTATTTTAATGATTTAATTGGGGTACGGTAGATTTTGGAGGTTTTGGCTATTTTTAATGAAAATGTATTCATATTATATTTTTAAGTGATATAATGGAAATGGTAAAAAAGTAGAAAAAGTGTGAACATTTGGTAAACATTTTCCATCTTCATTTCAAGCTATTCACACTTTCTACATTTTTAAATTTCCACTATATCACTTAAAATAACCAAAACCTATACTTCAAATCACTAAATATAAATTATAAACTATATCCTATAATTTATAGAATATAATAATAATAAATAAATAAAAAAGAAAGAAATAAAAATCTAAATCGGAAAAAATAGAAAATTTAAAATTTTCAAACTAAAATGGCAAAAAAAATATAAAATACCAGTATATTTTATGAAAAAAGCTAGATTAAAGCTCTAAATCCTAAACTTTTTAATCACAATTTACTATTTGAAAACGAAAAACTTAAATTTGAATAAAGTAAAATAATACAAAATTATAAATTGGTAACATGATTGGGAAAAACAAATTGGAAAAAAGGAAAAATGAATTTTTTAGTAAAATAAATCAAAATTCACTTAAAAGTATTTCATTTAACTTCGATACATTTTGTAGAATTTTCGTGATTATTTTACATGTTTAATACTCCGTAATATTTAGTTTGGAGATTTATAAAAAAAATTCTAAATCTTTCAAAAGTTGAGAGTTCATAATTGAGATTAATAAAAAAGATCGACTACAGTTAGGATTATTTATAACTTAAACAAAGTTCACATTTAAAATTGGTCTGTTATACTAGGTTGTAGGCCGTGATGTACTATTTTTGGAGAATGATCTCTATAGTTGGGAGTATTCAGGAAAATCGATAGTTGAGATTATTATTTCCGATTTTTTTCTTCTTTTTATTAGAAATCATTTATATTGATATTATAATTAGAAATAGAAACACGAATGTTACATACCCGATAGTATTATTCACAAAATCGACGGATGGCTATAACTTTCTTACTCCAATCACAACTCATAATCATATGATTAGGCACGGTTGAACTACTAAAATCTGATTCTTATAATACGAGTAGTATTTTTGAAAGGCAATTTAGGATACTTTCAAGAAAAAAAAGGCAATTTAGGATTTTTTTTATCATCCAATCCAACCATATTATTAAGTAATTAAATCATTCGCCAAATGGCTTACAACAAACTGAGGTGCAACCTCATAAACACACTCCTGATCCGAGATTTAGACGTGTGCCCTATCCATAGCGTGAGCAGCACGATTCGCAGATCGTTTACAATAAGAGATAACAAAATTCCTCTTAGATTCCAAAATAAATCTAATATCATCCAAGATCAAATGTAGATAAGCCGAATCCCCCCCCCCCTTCTGAATCCCTTGTACCACAGTCAAAGCATCAGTCTCAAACTCGACCTCGTTCCATCCTTCCTTGTCAGCTTCCATAACCGCATCCCGCAAACCAATAGCCTCAGTTTCCGCTACCGTCCATGAACCTTTTACCGAGACTCCTTTAGCTTTCATGAACTCTCCTTCCTCATTTCGTGCTATCCATCCCAGGCTCTAATCTTTCCTATCTCATCGATATCCCCATCAACATTAATTTTCACAACTCCCGTCCCCAGCCTGCACCATCTACCTTGTTTAGCTCTTTCGGTCTGTTCCTGTTCCAGACCGTGCTGCAATGAAGGTCTCTGCCTTTGCCCGTGCCGCTGCAGCGCTCCCAACCCTCCATTCTCATCTACACCTGCACTCCGAGAAGCCTCAGCCCCTGCACACCAAGAACCTGCTGCAACTACACCCTCCTCTATCTGAATAGAAGCATGCAAATCCTACTGTTGCGAGCTCGTCTGCCTCATCTGCACTGCCTTCCAGCCCTCCTCCATACTAGATGTCGCATTCATGACACAAACCACAGAGTCTTTTTGGTCCTTCCAATCCGCATTATTCCTTCTCTTCCATAGACTCCATAACACCGAAACAAACATTTCCTTCTCCTTCATACACCCCAAATCCAGCTTACCCCGTACCCATTCTTCCACCGAGTTAACAGTGCCAACCCCGATACCAGCCTAGTCCCAAACCTGCTTCGCCCACGGACACAACCTAAGAACATGGTCAAGAGACTCATCCCCATCTCCACATAGTTTGCATCCCGCAACAATCTGTACTCCTTTTCAGCTCAAGTTATCAACCGTAGGCATAGAACCATCTAACATTTGCCATACAAGATATTTAGGTTTCGGTGGGATCTCCAACTTCCAAAGGGTCTTCCATCCCATCCAACCGTCAGCCTGCATGTCTCCCATTAGTAATCTATAACAACTTTTCACAGAAAAATTTCCATTACTCTCTCCACACCACCAATAGCTATCTTCTCTCTCCTGATTACTAATCGGAATACTCAGAATTCTCTCTTTGTCCTATCCTCTTCATTAAAAATAGAATTAATTCTCTCAAAATTCCATTTTTTCCCCGTGTTATCCCTTAAGGCCGCCACATTCATATCACTCACATATAATGGTTTTGGTGACGACACAAGCCCCCCTCCGTTCCCTGGAAACCAAGCATCGACCAAACCTGTACATCAATCTCATTCCTCACTCTTCTTCTAACATTATCCTTCAAAATTCCTTGTGTTTCAAAAATGCTTCTCCATATAAATGATGGACTATTCCCCAACTTAGCATCCAGAAAGGAAGATTGTGGATAATACCTGGCTTTAATGACTCGACACATCAAGCTACTATCATTCCGGGTGAGCTTCCATCCTTGTTTTGCAAGCATTGCAATATTAAATTATCTAAGCCTCCTGAACCCCAAATCCCCAACCTCTCTCGGCCTACTCAGCTTCTCCCAACTTCTCCATCTCAACCCCTTCTGATCAAGTTCGTTCCTCTCCACAAGAACCCATTCATTAATTTTTCAATATTATTACAAAGTTCCTGGGGTAATAAGAAGACATATATAGAATAAGAATGCATAGCCTGAACCACATTTTTTTTAATAAAACTGCTCTCCCAGCTCTTGATAAAAATCTATTATTCCAACTCTTGATCTTGCTATAAATTCTATCTCAAATATACCCCAATATAGCTGATTTATTCCTACTAATAAGAGCAGGTAATATGAGATACCTGCCTTGCTCCAAATCAGCTCGAATCCCCTGCGTAGCACGACAAATCACCCTCTCGGCCTCCTCCATATTGGGACTAAAAACCACTAATGATTTATCAAAATTAACCATCTGACCTGAGAGCTATTCATACTGGAGTAAAATACTCTTTACTTTACTACATTCACCCTGATTAGCTTTAAAGAACAAAAAGCTATCGTTTGCAAAAAAACAGGTGACTAATTTTCAGGGGCCCTCTACAAACCGCCACCCTATGTATCCCTCCTCTGGCCACCCTATTAAGCATAGAGCTTAATCCCTCAGCCACTAAAATAAAGAGATATGAAGACAAAGAATCCCCCTGGCGCAGTCCCCTCCCTGGTGTAATCGGACCAATATGATCCCTGTCCACCTGAATATAATAATTCACTGAAGACACACAAGCCATAATAACCTTGATCCACATCGGATCAAACTCCATCCGCCGCATAACCTGCTTCAAAAAACTTAAACTAACTCTGCCTTACTCATGTCAAGCTTCAGAGCCGCTATACCCCCTTTCCCTTTTGCTTTCTTTTCAAAAAATGTTGAGTCTCAAAAGCTACAACAATATTATCTAGAATAGATCGGCCAGGAATAAAATGACTATCTCCAATAGGAGATGCAATTTAGGATTATAAATTTAATTATTGATTCATGTCTTTATTAAAAAAAAACATAGGTTTTAGATAACTTAGGTGAGTATCGCAGATATACAGTTTCAAGGATTTTCAAGATTCATAGTCCACAAGTTTGAATACAAATCTACCCGTTCTATGAAATTTGAGTACGATTTAAAAAAAAAACATGCAGATCTAATCAAAAGCGGCCAGATTTTGATAAGAATATAATGTTAGGGTTGATTTTTGTTGGAAATTTATAAGGATCCATTTAGATCTACGTACTATTCAACAAAACCCATTGAAATCTACATAAAATAGATCGTGTATACTCGATATTATATTTTATATATATTGTATAATTCTAAATCAAGGGCACCTCAAATTATATATGGGAGATCCTTGAAATTATGTAAGTTATAGACACTTAGATTTGAATAAACTCCATTTTAGGTCCTATGAGTTTTAGGTCAATTTCACATTTAATTCACATCTTTCACTTTGTCAACTTTTGTTGCATGAGTATTGTGTTTTCGCTCTTATATGGTTCTTTCGGCATTGTTTCTGTTGGTTAACATCGCCGGAAAACACATTAGTCAAGTATCAAAAGTGGACAAAGTGAAAGGACGTGGATTAAAAGTGTAATTGACACAAAACTCATAGGATCAAAAGTGGAATTAATTCTTTAGATTTGCATTTGAATTAATTCTTTAGATTTGCATTTGGATTCATCAAAATTAGTTTTCAGAGCATTTTTATAAATGCACAATGCAGAATGCACAATGCACAAACAATGCACTGTTAACAAAATTAGTTTAATTTATTCTAAACATACACCGATACCTAGGGGTGTGCATCGGTTCAAAACCGGACCGGAACCGGAACCGGACTTGCAAGAAAATAGATACCGGCGCGAAAACCGGACCGGATATATTCCGGTTTTGAACCGGAACCGGTCCGATAAACCGGTTTCTAAACTATTAATTTAATTTACTAGCAAATACTACTTATTTATTTAATAAAAATAAGGGTAGTTGTGACTAGTAATATTACTATTACTATTATTATTTATTTAATTACTTTTATTAGTCTTAGAGACCAAAGACTGAAGGAATTTGAGCGTAAAATAGTAGATATTAGTTAATATTATTATCAAGAAAATAAGAATAAATAGATGAATAAAACATTAGAACAATATACACTACATATTAAAACAATTACTATTTATATTTTTATTACTATTATTATTTTTGTTATTCTATAACTATTTTATATTAATACTATTAATTAATATTTTAAAAATATAGCAACACCGGTTTAATCCGGTTCAAACCGGAATAATCCGGTTTTTAACCGGAACCGGGCCGCAAACCGGATTTATAAAATTTGAAAACCGAAAACCGGACCGGATATCATCCGGTTCGGTTCCGGTTTTTTTGGTCTGGTCCGGTCTGGTTTTTACGGTTTGAACCGATTTATGAACTCCCCTAACGATCCCCATCAAAATTTCACAATATTTTATTAAGTTCTCTATCCAAATAGAGCATAACAGTTTGACATTGATTATAAGTACAGTTAGAAGATATTGAGACAACCAAATTAAGTGTCCGATTAGGGGAGGATGAAGTACATAAATGACTTCCATCAAGCTGAGCTGTTTCCTTACTTTAGAACTAATTAAAGATATTTAGAAGTGACACACTTCTTTAACTTGAAGTAAAATCGAAGCACTAATTATTGAAGTTAAGTGCTCCCCGCCTGGCCGTCTCCATCAAAAGTTCAACCTCGTTGGTATATAAATCAAAGCTAAATTGGATCGACAAGAAAGTAAGAAACTTGTAATCGAATTGGAATTGTTATTGCATTCAAAATGGTATTATCAAAACCATATCAGATTTATCTCCTGTTTGTTACACTAATAATAACTCATTGTATATCATATGCACGCGTAGAATCGTGTACTTTCTTCGTTACTAACAAATGCCCGTTTAACATATGGCCCGCAACCGCACCCAACGTCGGGCATCCGGTAGTGGCAAATGGCGGCTTCTATCTTCCGTCGGGAAAAACTAGAAGCTTCCAAGTGCCCGGAGATTGGAGCGGTCGTGTATGGGCAAGAACGGGATGCGACTTTGACTCCAATCACAGGACTTTATGTGAGACTGGCGATTGTGATGGAAAACTCGAATGTTGTGGAAGCATCGGCCTCCCGCCAGCTACATTGGTGGAGATAACATTAGAGGTAAATAAATGCTTAAGATATCATCAAACCCATTCATGTGGTTCCATATATAGATTTTTTACATTTAGTCAAATCTAGTCATATGCTCGTATAATATTTTTTTTTTTTTTTTTTGAAAACTTTTATGCTCGTATAATATGTATTCAATTGAAAACATCTTTATTGACAACTATCACATGTTGGTGTAGCACCCTCCAAATAAAATATTTATACACTTTTATTGAGTAAAATTTTGTGGAAAGGATGGATTTGAATTCTATAAACCACTTAATTTTTAGAAAATTGTTCATAATAGGAGTAGAACATGAACACAGTTCAAATATATTAGTAAGTATGTTTAATTCCTAAATGAGACTTGTTTAATCATATTCAAAGAATAAAATAAGTACAAATAAAAAATATGGAGCACGAGTGAATGAGTTCTATTTTGATAAGGAAACAATGATACTCTTTTCTGTGAAAATGTGTCATGCTTTAAGCCTATTTGAGACAAATGTATAATGTTTTACTTCTACTGAGTATTATTTAAGGAATTTTCTTTTTTCTGTTTGTCAAAAAAAGATTAATATTCCGTATTGAGTAACTATCACTACCAAAAACGGGATTGACATGAAGTTTTAGCAGAGATCCGTCAAAATTTACCGAGGATTTAGTAGGGATATGTCAAATTCTTGCAAAAAATACTTTGTTATTTGACACGAAATTATCGATAAATTCGTGCCAAACTTGTATCAATCCCCTAATTTTTTGCAAAATGAATCTGATAATTCAAAAGCTCAATTTTGCAACTCAACTTGAAATAATGAAGAGAGCAATAATAATACTCCATAATACTATCGTATCAATGTGACTAATTTATGGTTTTGAGCAGGTTGACCAGGGCAGGCCAAGTTCCTACGACGTGAGCTTGGTGGACGGGTACAACCTGCCCGTCTCCGTTTCAACGACGCGGTCTTCGCCGGAATGCTACATCGGCGGCTGTTCAAAGAACCCGAATGATGCTTCCGTCTGCCCGCCGGAGCTCCGAGTACTGAACAACGCCGGCAAAGTCGTGGCGTGCAAAAGCGCGTGTTTGGCTTTCAACGCCGACCCGTTTTGTTGCCGGAACGAGTACGGAAGTCCGGACAAATGCAGGCCGACGTTGTACTCGAAGATCTTTAAGAATGCTTGCCCCTCCTACGTTAGCTACGCCTATGATAGGCCTTCTCCGGCGGTCAACTGCTGGTCAGACAAGTATTGGTTTACTTTCTGCCCCGACAAACTCCGTACCGGCGGCTCATCAACTTAATTAGTCCAAGCTACATGATATGCATCCGTTAATTGACATCCATATATGACTATATGAGGAAATTACTTAATTAAGGAACAAATATTTTCAATAGGAACAAATAAGTCTCAAGTCTTATATACGTAGTATTTGAATAAAATAGAGTATAACTAGTCATATTTATGCATGTGGATTTTATAGTTCTTGGTGTGGTTAAGACTTATTTCCATTAATTTGTATTCCAAACACCTATTTTATTTAAGTTCAATATAATGGACGCAGAAATGTTTTTTATTCGGGGTTCAATCCTAAAAGATGAAGTTTAAGTTTAGATCAATATAATGTAGTGTACTACTCCGTAGGTATTATGTCAAGTGTCAACACCCAGAGTTCCAATCCGAAAAGTTTAACCAGAATTTTAGTACTCCCTATAACACTTTATTAAATTACGTAGTACTACGTAGTTTCTAAGTTAGTGTGTGAGACTTTATTAACACCTTCTTTTCATGATCAAACACTTCTTATAAATCGTATCGTCATTTTTTTCGTCAGTTTGTTATTGTCGTTTTATAATCACGTCGTTATTTTGCATAGGGTGCCACACAATTGCTATATACCGGTTTTACTCATATCATGTTAAGACACAAATATTTTTCATCCTAAAATGTCAACTTGATAGGAGTTGTAGTCCAAGATATTAATATAACGCTTTATTATTTCATAATATTAATATACTCGCATGAGACTTTAACATACGGACTACTATACAAATACATCAACAGCAATAATAAAAAAACGTACAATGATTATATGATATGACTACATAATACTCCGTACTTCGTAGTAAAGCAAAATATAATCTCCTCATTCTGTCTCTGTATTAAAGTTCTTATTTTGGTTTATGATGATATTTCGCTCTTGCTAATTAGAGTTATGGATTTTTTTCCTATAATAAAACAAAATTTATGAATAACCAGACCCTCATAACCTTCAAAAAAAATTAGGGTGTTTTGAAGCCAATGTAGTCAATTCCTAACCAAACCATTCAATAACCGATGTTGCGAACTGATGACACAATTGACCATCGAATTGTGAGAGTATTGTGATAAAATGGGCAAAAGACCCCTTCAAACGATGCCAATTTGACTATCATACTTCTTCAATAATACACGAAATAGTTGATCAGGGGTACGTACGTGGATCAGTAAAATTTAATACACTTTTATTTGGGGAGCCCGAATTGACGATATTTGGCTCTTGCTAATTAAAGTTATACCATAGTAGTAGATTTTTTCCTATAACAAAACAAAATTTATAAAAAAAACCGTGATTTTGTTTAAGAACCATTCTAATTCTGTTGTGTGAAATTACCTGTCAATGCATAGCGAAATAAAACAACATTGTGGTCATGCTAATTAGCGCAAGAACGTCATTGTCAAAATTGTAATATCTTTGTTGAATTATAGTACTAAGTAGGTAGAAATTCTAAATCAAGATAAAAACATGACAATCAAAATGTTGCGTGATAGAGAGCCGGCCCTAGGGGAAGGCGCACTACAAAAAAAGTGCACATGGACTGCACATGGGCCACATTTTTTTTTTGCGATAGCAGCATAACTGTCGTTAAAAACATCATTAACCACACATTTTTTTATTTACCACACACAAAAATGAGGTAAAAGCTTAGAGAGGACAGTTTTTAACCGTGACCAATGTTTTTACCACGGCTGTTGTGCCGACGCACCTAAAACTGTCGCAAAACTGTCGTAAAAACATAAGGAGGAACATTTACGACAGTTTTGCGTCAGTTTTACGTGCGTCGCCACAACAGCCGTGGTAAAAACATTGGTCACGGTTAAAAACTGTCGTCTCTGACCTTTTACCACAGTTTTGTATGTGGTAAATAAAAAAATGTGTGGTTAATAGTGTTTTTAACGACAGTTATGCGGCCATCGCAAAAAAAAATATTGGTCTATGTGCGGTCTATGTGCACTTTTCTTGTAGTGGCGGCCATCCCCAACCCCCTCCAAGATCCGATTTTGAAAGATGAAGACAATCTCTATGCAATGAAAGATCAAATCAAAGGTTTTTCTATGCTTTCGCTCTTTTTCAATTTACGTTTTCAAGGAATTTGGTTCGGCTTCTTCATTGGCCGAGAATTTTGTCCGCTTCATGTGAGTGTGTGGTATGTTATTCTCCTAGCAATGTCTAGAGGTTGTGCATTTCTAATCGGTGTAATCGATCTGGTGAAGCTTTTTCAACCTTGTTGTTCTGATGTTTCAAATATTCGCCCACCACCTGAACCACCGCCTCACTCTGGGAAGAAGAAGATGATCAAGCGGATCTCCTTTTCGGTGACTGGTCAAACCGATGTTTCTAGAAATTTCTACTCGACTGATTTCCCTTTGTTGGTTGCTGGTCAAACCAATTCTCCCTTTCCGGTGGCTGGTGAAGCCGGATCTTTTAGTTATAATTTTTTAATTTCTCTTTGGAGTAGCAAGACTGTTAGACTAGACTACATTATAGCGGGGTTAGCGATCTGGAAGGATTCATTGATTCTGTTTCGTTCTATGTCTCATCCCATTGTAGCCTCAGGCTATTCATTCTCTTGTATTTTTGCTATCGCTTAATAATAAATTAGTTATTTGATTTTAAAAAAAAAACACGACAGTCAAAATTGTGATATCTTCGTTAAATGTTACATCAAATTCACACTCTATTCTTCGTTGTTTTTAATGATCATGTAACATTTTATGTACTCTCTCTGTCCCCTTATAATTGTCTTATTTTTTCATTTTTGGATGTCCCGTATTATTGTCTCATACCATATTTGGTAACATTTGAGTGATTCTATCATTCTAATTCATTCTTACTTTATTTTCACATTATCAACTTTTTACTCATTATCAACTACATAAGTCTACTAGCTTTTCTTAAAAACCACACTACTCTCTTCAGTTTCAATATTAGAGGAACAAAGGTATTAGTATCTCTATTAGGGCTAGGAAAAAACTCCCGACTCCCGATCCCGATCCCGACAATCCCGATCCCGACTAGTCGGGAATTTTTCCCGATCCCGACTAAGTCAGGACGGGACCGGGATTTAAAAAAAAAAAAGTCGAGATCGGGAAAATCCCGACATCCCGACAATATATATATATATACACACACACTCATATATATATATATACATACATGTATATAATTATATATGAATATATAAAAAATGAATATACATTTATAAAAATGAATATGTATTTAAATATTTGCATATCTTTTTTAATTACTTATTCCTTACATAGATTAATCTTTTACTACGAGTACCTTACAATATCAAACTTCTAAAACTATTCGGCATTTGTCCAAAAATGAATATTCGGGATCCTAACTAAATAGAGATTATTCTTGATCCCGACAATCTAAATCACAAAAATATTACAAATTTTGCAGTTCTAATGAACTCTTTAAAAAATCATGATCGAGATTAAGATTTCTTTCTTTAGTAAATAATCATAATATGTATTTATACATTATATTCATTGGTCACAAAGTTTCTCAATGAGTCTACTTAGTTTTGAATTTTAAATAGGGGATAATTTGAGTTTGCACCCCATATTATTATTCAAATTGGACTTTGCACCCCATTTTTAAAAGACTTTGTTTGTGCACCCCAACTACATGTGAAAATACAAAAATGCCCTTGATCAGGAATATGTTGAAGGCTAATTAATGGAGGGGCATTTTTGTCTTTTCATATGGGGTTGGGTGCAACAACAAAGACTTTTAAAAATGGGGTGCAAAGTCCAATTTGAGCAATAATATGGGGTGCAAACTCAAATTATCCCTTTAAATAATATACATTACACATCCTTCTTTTAGTGATTTTTATATAATGTTTGAAGTAAATTTCACTAAGCCTTGATTCAAAAATTATACTATTAATTAATTGAACTTACAAATAAACATTATTCTAAAAGTATGTACTAGTGTGAATTCGAGATGATGATTATTACAATAAATTTTATAAGTAGATGATGATAAATGTGGTATAACAATTAACAAAGAATCATCTTGAAACCACTAAATATCAAAGTTAGTGTTTAACTAAAAAAAATTACATAATTTTATGTTTGAAACTTCATTGTCGGGATTAAGCGGGATTCCCGATCGGGATCCCGACTTAATCGGGATTTTAATGTCAGGATCCCGACTTAATCGGGACGGGATACAGATTCCTCTTGTAGTTTGAATCGAGAGTGTGAACAATATACTACTAGTACGTAGGCCTGGACTCGGGCCGGTTCGGGCCCGGGCCGGCGGTTCTAGTTAATCCCCAACCCCCCATTAAACCATCCCAAATGGCCCAAAATACCCAGCCCAACCCGAAAACAAAAAAATGAAAAAAAAAACAAAAAAAAATAGAAAGGCCCGGAACCGGGCCGGTTCATGATTTAGGGGGCCCGAGCCCGGAACCCCCGTAGGTCGGGCCTACCCGGACCGGTCACTGACCGGGCCACTGGGCTGGGCCGGAACAGTGCCGGTTTGGGCCGGTTCCGGGTCGGGCCACCCGGCCTGAGTCCAGGCCTACTAGTACGTATAAAATAAGGAGTACTGCATGTACTATACTGTACTTATAGAACAATACGATGGAACTCAAAACAAAATCACATGACGGATCAACGAATTTATCATCACAAGATAAAAATGAGTCCCTAAGTAAAACCTTAGAAGATAAGACATAAGAACTACTTTGATAAATGTTTTACTAACCTACGCTTCGTAATTTGACATTAACTCCTACGAGTTGTTTACATCATTACATGCATTCTTTTAGTCATACGGCGAGTATGTTTCTATGGTGGGACGATTTGATTCATTTGAAAGTACACTGAAGTAGTCTAACATAGCATTATGGTTATTGACAGAAGAATATGGAGAAGAATATGAAAACTTGTAGGATTGATTTGTCCAGGTTGCAGAAATGAATCAGGTAGTATGTAATGAATTACGTAGTATAACTTTGTGCTAATTTATTACTCCGTACACTATTGTTCTCTGTTCTAAAAATCGTTCTAGGCGTCCGACTAGTCCCCGCCTAAGCGCTAAGTGGTGGCCCGGCGTCCCGATTTTCATCTAGGCGCTCCGACTAATTGGTTTGCCGTCTAGGTGAATTAGTCGGTCGCCTATGGCGCCTAGTTGCCCGCCTAGAGTGCCTAATCGGCCGCCTAGGCCGTCTAGACTCGTCGAACATTACTTTACTTTTAATTTTAATTTTCTAAGCGTTACACACGTACTTTAGCTTTAGTCATGAATATAACGAAATGAAGTTGTAAATTAAGATAAAACTATATATGGTTGTATATATACCTAAATTTTATCATTATTTATATTTATAACATAATGAAGTTAAGTGATTAGTTATCATATACTACGTATGATTAAATGTGATAATTCTATCATTCATATTTGTTAGTGTATATGAATATATATGTATTTATACACACAACAATACAATATTACTTATCATATTTATGCAAAAATATAGATACAAATGTAATTTATATATCTCCGACTAGTCCCCCGCCTAGGCATCCGCCTAGCCGCTTAGGCGCTAGGCGCTGGGCTGACGCCCAACTAGCGCCTAGCGGCTAACGCCTAGCGCCTTTTAGAACATTGTTATTGTTGTTCTTATTATATTTTGAGCACGTAGTTTAAATTTTTTAGTCTGGTACAGCCTCCCTTGGACAAACCTCTGGCTCCGCCACTGCTCATAACCTTCAAAAATAAATTTTAGGGTGTTTTGAAGCCAATGTAGTCCATTCATAACCAAATGCAACCCCACAAGGGTATCTAACCAATGTTGCGAACTGATGACACAATTGACCATCGAATTGTGAGTGTTGTGATAAAAATGGGCAAAAGACCCCTTCAATTCAAACGATACCAATTTGACTATTATAAGTCTTCAATACACTAAATAGGTGATAAGGGTTAGGTACGTGGATCTGTAAAATTTGAAACACTTTTATTTGGGGAGTCCGAATTGATGATATTTGGCTCTGATCTTGTTAATTAAAGTTATAGTATACCCTTTTTTATAACAAAATAAAATTTATAAAAAAACCATGATTATGTGGAAGATCGGAACCATTCTAATTCTGTTGTGTGAAATTACCTGTCATTGCATATATAGCGAAATAGAACAACATCGTGGTCATGCTAATTAATTAGCGCAAAAACGTCATTATTGTCAAAATTTGATATCTTCGTTGAATCGTTGAATTATAGTACTAAGTAGGTAGAAATTCTAAATCAAGAAAAAAACATGACAGTCAAAAATGTGATATCTTCGTTAAATGTTACTCCGTACCAAGGGTTGTTAAAATTGCGATTTAGATCGTAAACCGACCCAAATCGTTAACTAAATCGGAATTAGAAAAAATCGTTAAAAAATCGTTTTTGAATCGCTAAAATCACCTCAAATCGCGATTGCAAACGATTTCCCCGATTCTTTAAATTTAACTTTAAAACTCGCCATAACCCAGCCCAATCTCTCAGCCGATTATATATGGCCGTTTAGGCAGGTTGAACGAAATACTCGCTGGCTGAAAGAAGATAAGTAAGCTCAACGGTTATATAGGCAAGGGAGGATGGAAATTTCCTAAGCTCTTCTGGTGTGGGAATAATGAAACTCCGTATAAGTCTATAAGATGAGTAAACAAGTTTTTTGTTTAAAACGTAAACCAGCAGTGCCGGATATCAAACCCACGCCCAACCCTACAGGCCTACACCCAACCATATTGCTTAACCAAACCAAATAAACAAAACGTAAATTAAAACTTTGTGTTCAAATTTAACTATTAAATTATTTATTCAATATTCTACAAAATAAAATAAACATACAGATATTTATATAAGTTCTGCCATTCATATACGATTCATTGCGAATTTTGATTAAAACATACTCCGTAATTTTTATTTTTGTTGACTTTTCTTCTTTGATTATATGACATTGATTTGTTATTAATTATTTTGTTCACTTTAATTAACACATCAATGTATGACTTAAACTTAATAAGGTTAAATTCTGAGTTTTCCTTTTAGTTAACATTTTTAATTATTATATTTAATTATTTTGTAAAATCTTACGATTTACGATTCGATTTTACGATTCGATTTTTAAATCCTTGTACCGATTCGATAAAAAAATACAATTTTAACAACCTTGTAGACCGTACATCGTTCACACTCTATTCTTTGTTGTTTTTAAATTTTAATGACCATGTAACATTTTACGTACTCCCTCCATCCCTTCATAATTTTCTCATTTTTTTGCATTTTTGGATGTCACATATTATTATCTCATACTCCCTCTGTCCCAGTTTACTTAGCCAAACTTGACTTTTTAAGTCAATGACGTCTAATTTTGACCGATTATATGTTTATATATAGAGAAAATATTGATAAATGAAAATGGTATGAAAATATTTTTGGTAAAAAATGCTATCATAAAAGTATAAAATTATTAAATTTTGCAAAAATATACTTCCTCCGTTCTTAAATAAATGCAACGGTCAACATTTCACACTTGCCGAGACACAACTTTGACCATTAATATAAATGATTTTGTATTAGTAAAAAAATTAAAAAAATTAGATTATGAAAATTTACAATGAGACAAATTTAACAATATTTTTTTCATAAAATAATATTATTACATTAATAAATAAAACGTAATCAAAGTAGAACATGTGAATAGTGTAAAAGTCAAAGTGTTGCATTTATTTAAGAAAGGAGGTAGTACTACGTATTAGTTAAAATAATTGGTCAAAATTTATCCTCTTTGACTGGAAAAGTCAAAGATGACTAAATAAATTGGGACGGAAGTAGTATCATACTACTTATTTGATAACATTTGTGTGACACTAATTTATTTTTACTTTATTCTCATTTTATCAACCAATAAGTTTACTTTTCTTAAAAATCGCACGAGTCTCTTCCGTTTCAAAACGAGAGAAACGGAGGTATTAGTATTCATTAGTACATCTAAAGAATACGGAGTATAATAGAGTGTGAAGTTGTGAACAATACGATGGAATTGAAAACAAAATCACATGAAGGATTAACGAATTTATCATCGCAAGATAAAAATGAGTCCCTAAATAAAACTTTAGGAGATAAAACATAAGAACTACTTTGATAAATGTTTTACTAAGCTACGCTTCGTAATTTGACATTAACTCCTACGAGTTGTTTACATGCATTCTTTTAGTCATACGGCGAGTATGTTTCTATGGTGGGATTTGATTCATTTGAAAGTACACTAGAGTAGTCTAACATAGCATTATGGTTATTGACATACAATGAAGAATATGGAGGAGAATCATGATCCTCCTCCTCATCATCATACGTTTCTTCATCAGAACCAAAAACTCGTCCAACAATATCATTACCTGACATTATCGATACATTCTGGTAGTATCTGAGCTGTGCCAGCACTTGTACGAGTTCATCTTCCGCTTCCTTGAGACACTGATTCAGATACCAAATATATTCCACACACCCAAGAACGGGGAACCGGTCCCGCATTTCGGCCTCAAAAATGATGGATTTCATGGCGTCGCTCTTCTTGTCGTCGTCCTCGTCTACCTGTTTCAGGGTTTTCATGACGTTTCTGATGCCGAAGAGGCGGTGCACGTTGAGGAAAGTTTTGGGCTGACTGGCCGGGAAGTACGGTGCCAAGGCGCAATCCGGCGAACATCTTTTTCTTTGGTGTTTGCAGGCCGCACAAGCTGGTGGGGCGCCGCCGCCTTCTCCTTGGGCAGTCATGTTCTGAGATCTCCTTAGCTTCCGGGCAGTTTGGTTTTGCTGCTATTTTTCCTGGTTAAATACTTGAAATGAAGAAATTAAAAAGAAACGGATAATTATGGCTAACGGCCAAGAGTAATATCTTGGTTTTGGGAGCGCAAATATACAGCTCTTTGATTTGAATTTAAGTTGTTTACGTTTACGCTGGTATTTGGTCGTTGAGTAGTATACAGTATACTTCGAAACTGTTCGTCTTAATCTTACCTATTATTACTTATTGTTTATTCTTATTTTATTCAGATCAGATTAGATCAAAAAAATTCAGATCAGATCAGATCAGAAAGATTCAGATCAGATCAGAAACATTCAGTTCAGATCAGATCAGGAACATTCAGATCAGAAAAGTCCAGACATGATTTATCCTTTTTATTATAATAATAATTATAATAATATTTATAGTAATTATAATAATTATAATTATTATTATTTTTGTTGTTGTTGTAATTATTATAATTAATATTATTATTGATATTATTATTATTATTATTATTATTATTATTATTATTGTTATTATTATTATTATTGTTATTATTAATGTTATTATTATTCTTATTATTATTGTTGTTATTATTATTATTGTTGTTGTTGTTATTATTATTATTATTATTATTATTATTATTATTATTATTATTATTATTATTATTATTATTATTATTATTATTATTATTATTATTATTATTATTATTATTATTATTATTATTATTATTATTATTATTATTGTTATTATTATTATTATTGTGATATTTATTATTATCATGATTATTATTATTCTTACTACTAATATGGTTGTTGTCGTTATTGTTATTAGTTTTGTTTTCGTTATTATCATATTACACGGAGTAATTACAATTAAAATTATAGAAACAAATATTATAATTATAATTATAATTTTTATAATTATGATTATAATTATAATTATATTTAAATTATATATGTGTAATTACATTTATAATTATAGTAATTATAATTGTAATTATAATTTTAGAAATATTCAAATCAGATCAGATCATAAAGATTCAGATCAGATCAAAAGGATTCAGATCAGATAAAAAACATTCAGATCAGATCAGGAACATTCAGATCAGATCAGATCAGGAACATTCAGATCAGATCAGAAAGATTCAGATCAGATCAGAAAGATTCAGATCAGATCAGATCAGAAAAATTCAGATCAGATCAGATTAGAACTTAAAAAATTCAGATCAGAAACATTCAGATCAGGTGAAGAGAACAGCTTCTTCGTCTACATTTCTAGTTTTCTAATTCGATGTGAATTTGCACTTTTAACTTTAAATTTTTACCGTTTTTTATGTTTATCTAACGTAATGTGAATTTGATTTTTTTTATTTAAATTACGAACTGTATTACACTATCATTTATTAATAGAATAAACTTGTGCTTTTGCCGTTGGTTGTATATATACTCGGATCGGTATATAGGAACATCTTCAATTCTATAATGTGCATGGTGCACGTATAACATAAGAAAGATACACATAAAAGATTAAAACTTTTGACATTTCTTTTGTCTTCATTCCACGGTCTTATGTGTTTTTTAGGGAATAAGGTGCATATTGCCTACTAAGATTTAAATGAAGAAGCACATTAGACACTAAGGTTATTTTAGGAGCAAATATATAAGTCAATATTTAAGTTTTTTGGGGCATAACACCCACCCACTCACATATATAATTTACTCCGTTTACTAGGGAGTACTTCAATGTTAATAATACTTGATGTGTGTCAACATGCATTTTTCTACTATATGCATATTAGTATAATTGTACTTATGTCTACATATATACGTTTTATATAAACATAGAGAAATGTTTTAATATAAAGTACTCTTCATATGAAACTGAGAAATAATTTTAGCCATTGAAATGAAAAAATAAGTGAATCAGATCAATTATTAAGTGCGAAATATGGTGACTAAAAGTGTAAATATTAGCAACTTTTTTTACAAATAAAATGCTAAATGTTCATCACGTACTATATAGGAAAAGTGCGGGCATTTGACTAACACAAAAGTGAATCGCTTTTCGAAATACACTAACAAATGTGATCGGTACAAAGAATATTTTGGAAAATGTTTTTTACACGAATGTTTTTAAATTAGGGTGGATTAGGACCTAGATTGGCCCTCTCTAGCCCCGCCTTTGTCGGTCGCTAACATATAATTGGGACCCAAAAATATTGCAGCTGCTAATGATATTGTGGCCAGGCCATATTCTCTTCGCTAAAATAAAATTAGTAGTATTTAATTTGAGTGTACTAGCTTATGTATGACAAACTATAAAATAATATATTTGACTAGCTATCATTCTGTAGCTCCATCCCAAAATAATTGTAGTTTTTTAAATTGAATAATGAAAAAGTCAACCTTTTTGAAATGTAGCACTCCTGTATGGCAAAAAATATACTACGGAAAATGTTTTGAACATGATAATGTTTGATACGGAGTACATAATTAAATTAGAGATAAAATGTCAATTGCTTTTCGGAAAATTAAGTGTATAGTAACATGTTTTTGTTGAAAAGATAATGCTAAACTTAAAACTCGTTGTAAACCAAAAGGAGTCCAAATTCAAAAAGGTGGAATCGCTTCAAGCACGTGCCGCTACACCCATGCTCGATAGAATGATAGAAGAGTAAATCATGCACGACATGATCTTATTAAACAGTTCTGAATTAGGTAATTCAGTGTCTCGTGCACACAAAAAACCATCACTGCAAATTAGATGAAACTTCTACACTGTTATTCTCGGGGATTGAACATTTGAACTTGAAACTTCAATGGAACTCCCCCCGTTGAGCTATACGTGCAATTAGTCCATGTTTTTGGAATTGAGCATTGCACTTGATGGAATATTGGTGTATTAGAATTTCTACACTTTGCATATTTTTTAACATGAATGCCTTAGAATTGGCACACAAATTGTTTTTAGTTAATTGGTTTGCCTCGGTTTCAGACTAGATCAGAACAAACTGAACTTAAATAAACTAAATTGAAATAGACTTAGACAATTGTAAAATACACAGAACAAATATTTACCGAATAAGATCAAATTAGATTTAAACATGCTAAAATAAGACCAAATCAAACCAAATAAAAAAATTCTATTCAATCAAAGCATCCTTGTCACTCATAATTGTACTCTCTATATTATCTCTTACTACGTATTTGATCTAGTTGAATATTATTATACCCACCATATCCCCTAACTTGTTGGGTACTTGAGTTAGTTTAGAAATATATCATTGGATTTTAGTCTCGTTTCATCATGGACTGGAATTTTATGATAATTTTTTGAATTGGCCCCCTCTGCTCTGATTCGGTGAATGCTTATTTATGTATATATTACCACTGTTAAAATCTGCCTGACCAATTTGAGTTTAGTCTTATTTGATATTGAAATCAGTCCAGTTAAAGAGAAACTGAACTAACAACACATTAATATTGGAATGACAATTGTTAGAAGGATACGATATTTAATTTTGTAGTTCAATTACGTAAATTTGGACTTGCACGTTATGTGTATAGGATCCGGGGCCTCTGCCTTGCTTTAAAGTAAGGTAGGGTGCCCGGCTTTTCCGGGCCGTTCGATCGGAGATTGGACGGTCGAAGATCTTGGGCTCCACTCGTTCCCCGATCTCGAGGTCATCCTCTTCCCCTCCTTGCCGTCGCATGCCGCAAGGCACTCTGCCTTATGGCAGAGGATCCGAATCCATGTGTACATAACTAACTAACAATCTAACATTTGTTATGGATTTGAAAATATAGAGTTTTGACTGCATTTTAGTCCTGTAATTTTAACTGTTTGCATGGTTAGTCTCGTGACTCTAGTCACTTGTAAGTTCGGTCCTGTAACTAAAAATAAATTGCGATTTAAGGACTTTCTCTTCGAAAAAGTAAGCTTTATTTCCGGCACAAAATCCAATGTTGGTGGCATCTTGTCTAGTATATTTTTGCTAGAAAGTGTACTTTTCTGGAGAAATTTTCTTACATCGCAAAAAATTATTAATTGCATGAGCGAACTTCACAAGTGACTAAGTTGTGCGAACAAAATTGAAAATCTATCTTTTATTATTTGCAAATATATTCAGTATACATGGTTGAAACTTCCTCCACGGACTTTCGAACTCGAAACCTCTCGTATGGAAAGTAAGTTGGTGATGACCAGTCGAGGTGGACCACTTTCTCATTAGTATTATACTCCCTATGTCCTGTAATTAAGTTTCTACTTTCATTTTTAGGATGGTCCATATTAAAGTTCCAATACTTCAAACCTTTCCTTATTTGGCAAATGATTTACACCAAAAAAGTGCCAAAACAGTGTTCAAACAGTGTCAAACAGTGCTCAAACGATGCACTAGCTTCACAGTAAAGTCAAATTTATTTTCTTTATATATGTGAAGTCAAATCATAAACTTATCATTCGAGCATATTTGACTACTTTTCAAATTAATCTATCAATATTCGTAACTATGTGTATGAATCGGAAAATGTTCGAAAACAGCTTTTCTTAATTGTATTCGTATTTGAGCTTCTTTGAATTCAAATAGTTATACTCCGTACCTCAATCACCAATTGAGCCTAAAATATTGAGGTATTAATCTAAATAGGAGTAAATTAATCTTTATTTGTCTAAAACTTCCCTAAATAGGAGTTATTATTTGTAATTGGACACAAAGACCCTTAAGCTTGGAGGTATACTGCCGCTGCTCAGAATACCAGACCACCGCCGGTCGCCGCCGGTCGCCGGGCACCCCTGTCGCCTCAAAAGCTGGTCGTCGTTGCAGATCTGACCATCGCGGATGCAAATCTGGTGGGCGTCGCCGGAGATCTGGCCAGATCTAGCCTCTGCCTGCCGTCCGCCGCTGCCCCGACGATCCAGGTACCGTCACAACTAATCCGGCATAAGCTACTGCAACACTGACCTCCCCAGATGCAGATCTGGTCTTTACCAACGTGAATGCCAAGATTTTTTTTCA